GAGCCAGCATCGAAGCCTTGACCGACAAAGAGTGCAATGGATTACAAGGTATGGGGTTCCTTTTCCAAATAGTTCCTTCCAACTGCAGCAGCCAACCCAGTTGCTATCCGCCTGAGATGGACCACATCCTAACCGAGTTTTCTCATGTATTTGAGCCGCCCACCAACCTACCTCCTAAACGACCACATGACCATCAAATTCTGCTCCTTCCCAGCAAGGGACCAGTTAGTGTGAGGCCATATCGATACCCATATTACCAGAAAACGGAAAAAGAAGAAATGGTGAAGGAACTTCTGCAGTCGGGATTGATAAGGCCAAGCAACAGCCCATTTTCATCACCGGTTTTGTTAGTGAAGAAGGCTGATGGAGCTTGGCGATTTTGCGTGGATTACCGAGCGTTGAACGACATCACGGTTAAAAACAAGTACCCCATTCCGGTGATTGATGAACTATTAGATGAGCTCCACGGGACCAAGTTCTACTCCAAACTAGATCTATGATCCGGGTACCATCAGATTCGGGTGCGAGAAGAAGACATTCCTAAAACAGCCTTCCGGACGCATGAAGGGCATTACGAGTTCTTGGTGATGCCGTTTGGCTTGGGGAATGCACCTACAACCTTTCAAAGCCTCATGAAGACCTCTTCCGTCCATACCTCCGGAAATTTATTTTGGTCTTCTTCGACGACATTCTGGTTTATTCGAAATCATGGGAAGACCATATATCTCATTTGCGAATTGTTCTAAAAATATTATCCTCTAACCAATTATTTGCAAAAATGTCAAAATGTCAATTTGGTGTTTCGCAGGTCGAGTACTTGGGTCATATAATTTCGGAGCAAGGCGTGTCAGTTGATCCAACCAAAATACAAGCTGTTCTCGAATGGCCTACACCAACATCGGCAAAGGGGGTCCGTGACTTTCTCGGGTTAGCAGGATACTACCGGAAGTTCATCCGCAACTTCGGAAGCATAGCAGATCCCTTGACCCAACTATTGACCAAAGGGGGATTTCAATGGAACGAGACAGCAGAGCTGGCCTTCCAGTAGTTGAAGAAAGCACTCACTTCACCAGCAAATTTGTGATTGAATGCGATGCGAGTGGAACTGGGATTGGTGCAATCCTTACCCAGCAAAACCGACCGGTGGCCTATTTTAGTGAAGCATTGAAGGGTTCAGCCTTGGCACTATCCACCTATGAGAAGGAGATGTTAGCTATTGTCAAAGCCATTAAGAAATGGCATCCATATCTGCTTGGTAAACCTTTTACAGTCCACACCGACCAAAAAAGTCTTAAGTATTTACTCGAGTAACGGATAACTACACCAGCACAAACGCGGTGGTTGCCAAAGATACTTGGGTATGACTACGAGATCGAGTATAAGAAAGGGGTTGAAAATCAAGGTGCGGATTCCTTGTCGCGTATGGCCGAATTTCAATTTCTGTCCATCTCTATACCACATGCAAATTGGTGGCCGACGCTACAAAAAAAGGTCAAACAAGACACATTTTATGAAGAATTGATGAAAAAGCGACCCTCCCACAAGTTGCTTCAACGAGATGGAGTGTAGTTCAAGGGGGACAAAATTTATTTGAGCCCCGCCTCCACCTTGATTTCAAAGGTAATGGCGGACTGCCACTCATCCCCAATAAGAGGACACTTTGGGTTTCATAAAACCCTCTCTTGTATCAAGACAGTTTCATTTGGCCTAACATGCGTCGGGCGGTGAAAGAATTCTTGCAGCAGTGTGACGTGTGTCAGCGCTTCAAAACAGATTGCATGAGGCCAACGGGATTGCTTCAGCCGCTACCGACACCCACTCAAATGTGGACAGATCTCAATGGACTTTATCGAAGGGTTACCTCCTTCCAATGGGTATACGGTTATCATGGTAATTGTGGATCGATTGACAAAATATGCCCACTTTATCCCCTTAAAACACCCATTCACTGCCACGACAGTCGCTAAGGCATTTGTCGCCAACGTTGTCCGCCTACATAGAATTCCGACATCAATTGTTAGCGACCGYGACAAGGTRTTTATCAGCTCATTTTGGCAAACACTTTTCCAAATGCATGGGACGAAGTTGTGTATGAGCTCAAGTTACCACCCCCAAACCGACGGGCAAACCGAAGTTGTTAACTGAACGTTGGAGCAATACCTACGATGCTTTGTAGGTATCTAGCCGCGGAAATGGTTAGAGTGGATTCCTTGGGCAGAGTACAGCTACAACACATCCACTCACTCTTCCACCAAGATGACACCCTTCGAAGCAGTCTACGGTATCCCACCCCCAAGTCTGTTGACCTATGTACCGGGCACTGCTCGAGTAGGGGCAGTTGATGAATACTTACGTGACCGGGACATCATCCTACGCGAGTTGCAACACAACCTTCAGGTAGCTCGGAATCGGATGAAATTTCAAGTGGACCAACACCGACGTGAAGCTTCATTCGTCGCAGGTGATTACGTGTATGTGAAGTTGCAGCCTTACCGGCAGACTTCGGTGGCGTTTCGGCGTTCTTTGAAGCTCGCCCCATGGTACTTTGGGCCATACCCAATCATCAAGAAGATCAGTTCGGTGGCCTATCGATTAGCCTTGCCTCCTGGCTCTCAGATCCACAATGTGTTTCATGTCAGTTTACTACGGAAGCATTTGGGACCAGTCACCCCAACTTCCACCCAGCTACCCCTAATCTCGGATACTTCGACCATCCTTCCACAACCGGAAGCGATCTTAGATCGTCGTATTATTCACAAAGGAAAATACCGTCCAAAATCTGAAATTTTGGTCAAATGGGTAGGGGCACCAACCGAGGACGCAACCTGAGAAAATGAATGGCGTTTCACCAAATCATATCCTGACTTCCTTGTGGACAAGGAACCTTTAAGGGGGAGGAAATGATACGTGCATGTGCATGCATGCACTAGGCAGCAACGGCAGCTGGAGACTCGGTCAAAGTCGATAGCAGCAGGAGACTCGGTCACAGTAGTTCTTAGTTATTGGATAAGCCTTAGCCATTCTGTTTCAATTCTGTTTAGTAGATAAGCCTTGATTTCTGTTTTAGTAGATAAGTCAATTCTGTTTCTTGTTGATAAGCTCCTAAGATCATGGGGCGGCAGTTCCTATCTTAACTCCTAGTTTGTAGCACAATAAGGCTATAAATATAGCCTGAAGAAAGGAATAAAGGCATTGGCTTTCCTACAACCGAATTCCCTCTCTCTCTTCTCCTTATCCTACTCTGAATCTCTCTCCCTTTCCTGAGAACTTGATCATATCATAATGATAACAATACCTACTTCCAAAATAAATTCTCACAGACCAAAGTATTTACGGACCTCAAAGAAAACAGATAGAAAGTTAAATTACGAAAGAAAAAGCAAAACAAATTGAATAGGCAATTTTAATTCGGTCGCAAAAAATGTACAAGAAAATGGAAAAAACTAAAACGAAGGGCAAGAGAAAAAACAAACCCTAATTCCCTCCAATAGATGAAATGAAACAATCCTCGGATCTTTATTAATTAAGAAGAAAACTTACAACAATGATGTCTCGGTCGCACCAAGGCATCTGATCTCCACCGCTGAAAAAAGTTCCAATGGATTCAAAGAACTTCCCGATCGTTGCCTCCATGGCTACTGCCGCGATACAAATCCTACGAAGAAGAAGGTCAGCGTCCCAGACTCACAGTTTAGTTTTTTCACTGATTTATAGGTTTTGGATTTCTTGATAAGGTGAAACGTGCGACAAGGTGAGAGAAGTTTTAAGGGGAAAATTACTGATAAGCGCTCTTTTTAAATTTTCATTTACAATTAAACCCTCGACGATGGGAATGGGATTTACAAAAAGGTGTAAACGGCATTCGAAAATTGTTTTTTATTCTTTATTTCTTATTCACTTTCTTTCTCTCTCTTCCGCTCTCCCTATCTCTTGCTCTCTTTCCCTCTTGATGTTGTAGAGCATATGAACATGGTGGACAATCTTTCCGTTGCATACTACACTAATGGCGACTTTTGTTGCAGCGACATCAAATAGATAGCTATGGTTCAAAAAAAGTTTTAATTTGTTTTTTGAAAATTAGTTGACAGGGAATGAAAAAAAAAAAAACTTGAAATTAGGTTTCTTCTTCCTCCCATGGTGAAGGGGTTGGTGTTAAAAATGTATTTTGAATTCGAATCAAATTCAAATACTCGATTATTTAGACGATTCAAATTCGATGTATTGCTTAACGAAATCGTCGGATATCGAATCGAATTCAAATATTCATCCATTTAATCGGTTTCGAATTCAAACCAAACCTAATTCGATTCGAATTCGCTACGTTTACACCCCTACATACGAATTTGGGGAGGGTTTCACTTCACCAAACCTTTGAACCTCAAAGGTTAAATTCTAAACCTCAAGGATTCATATAAAAATTAAAAAAAAAAAAAGATATCGATACGATACTCTCGATACATCACAATTGGATAAGCATTGCAAGAGTCATGTGTGTTGGCATGATATGATATGGAGGCATATCATGCCATATCAATAGATATGGTCTGATACACACCAATAAAGGTGTATCCATGCCTAGTTTGACAAAACTATATATTGACTACTTTTGGATTGTTTGTCATATTTAATAAAAGTATAAAAAAATTGTATTATGAAAACTGAAATAAATAATTTAAAATTTAACTTTTTCAAAAAAATAATAATAACTAAAAATTATAAAAATAATATATTTCATCTACCTTAGATGATTTATATATTTTATTTTACWCAWAATTATATRTTAAAAATGAAAACATAGTTATTATTTGAAAAAATAGAGTTATTATATAAAAAATATTTTTCCAACAAAATTAATGAAACACAAAAAATTATAATTATAAAATACTGAAATGAATAATTTAAGACTTAATTTCCCAAAAAATTTAATAAAAACTGAAAATTATAAATAATTTATAAAAATTCAAAATTAATAAATATTCCTAGAGCCCCAATATTGTTGTATTGTAATATTTTTCTTCATATAACCTATTGAAGTATGCATTTCTTATGTATATCTTATTATTCATAGATAACTCAGCTTTTGGTTTTAGTATTATTAATGTATTTATATGATTTATATGCATTTCCCTAATGTATCCAAGCATTTCTATATCTTTCATTCATATCCGTTCAATTGCAAAGCATATCCGTATTCCACCTGTATGATATGATACTCGATACCAATACTTTGATCCTTACAATCAGGTAAAGAAGATGACCTAAAAAGGGTTAGCATCAACCCATTTTCAATAAATTGTGTAACAAGTCAATGACGGCCCATTTTTGATAAATTGTGTAACAGGCCGACAATGACCCGTTTTCAATCCAATAGTTTATTTATCGTGTCACACATAGTTGTTACATTTACTGTGCATGACATGGTTACATAATAATAATTTTAACTATTATTATTATTTGTTTAATAATAATAATTTAATTATTATAATAATGATTAAATTATTAACTATTATAACAATAATGCTAATATTAATAATTACTAATATTAATGATTAATATAGGGTGTAAATTAGTAGAAAAAATAGAAATTTATCAATAATTTAAAAAATTGTCATAAATTAGTATAAATTAAGAGAAATTAATCAAGAACATAATAAAAAAATTATTAGTATTATTAGAAAATATGATAATTTCCGTAAAAACTTACCAATATTTAAGGAAAAATATCATAATTACCAAAAATGAATTAATAAAATTTCCAACAAATACGATAAATTACCAAAATCAACATAAATAATTATAAAAAAGTAAATTACCAATATTATCAGAAAATTTTGATAAATAATAAAAAAGTTATCAATAATTTTCAAAAAATAATAGTAATTACAGAAAAGAATATAAACAGCGAAATTTATTAGAGATTACCATAAATTGTCATAGATTATTAAAGATGAACAAAAATTAACCAAGAAAATAACCAAATAGAAGTTACCAATATTTCAAAAAAATAATAATTCCTATGAATTAATAAAAAACAATAGAAAATTATCAAAATTAAAAAAAGTAACTCTTATCCAAAAATTAACAAAAATTTATCAATATTATTTCTAGTAGTTATGATAAATTACAAAATATCAACGTAGATAATTATTAATAATCTTCAAAAATTATAGTAATTAGCAAAAATTACTCTACATAGCAAAAACTTATAAAAATTACCATTAATTGTCATAAATTAGTAGAGATGAACAAAAAATGACCAATAAAATAACCATAATTAGGTGACCAATATTTCCAAAAAAAATATGATAATTTCTAGAGATCAATAGAAAATATAGAAATTTACCAGTATATACTAATAAATTAAGAAATTGTCATAAATTAGTAGAAATTAAGAGAAATTACCCAACACTTATCAAAGACTACCATAAATTGTCATAGATTATTAGAGATGAACTAAAATTAACCAAGAAAATAATCAAATATGGGTTACCAATATTTCAACAAAATGATAACTTCTATGATTAATAGAAAATTATCAAAATTAAAAAATTGTTAAAATTACCAATAATTTACTATATTTTTGTTATAAATTTATTCTTAATATTTTTTTGCTACAAAGTTTCAATAATTATTAGAGATTAAACTATTGTTAATTATTAGAGATTATATTATTAATTAGCTGAATTTAGGAGTGTTCATGGGTCAGTTTGTTTCGGTTGCAGGCTATAGCCAACCAAATTGACCTAGTTAGGTTAGAGAGTTTGTCACCCAAAATTGACTGACCATTAGAAAAAAGCATCCAAATTGGGTTGTATCAATTTGGATCAGTTTTTAGTTTGGTCTATCACTTCAAAAGATTTAAAATTAAAAATTTAAATTTAAATTTAAAAAATTATAGTGGTATTATTAAATAATTAAATTTATAATATGAATAAGAAATATAGGGATTTTCTCACTTTTTCATATTAAAAAAATATTTTTAAAATATAAAATATTAATATATTTATTGTCATGTTGGTTCAATTTTGGTTGATTTACAAATGACCAAATTGAAATTGACCCAACTTGGTCAAGTTGAGAAATTGTTGAACTAAAGCCAACCAAAATTACTAGAAAACTGAGTAACTCGGGTCGGGTTGGGTTGGGTTGGTTAATTCAGTTAGTTTCATTAGTTTGATGAATAACCCTAGCTGAAATTAATTGTTGTTATTTTTGTATTGTAAAAAATTATTAAAAGTAGTATATAAAATATATATAATTATTAGTTATTTAAAATTTTAAAAACAATTGTTTGCTCTTATGTGTTTCTATTGTTTATATTTCAATTAACATTCCCTGCATCGCAAAGGTCCCTACTACTATCTTATTATTTTTTGGCATATAAACTAATATTTTCAAAACCAACTTGAAAATGGATCCATTTTGGCCACCATTTTTTGGGTCAATAGTTCAACCATCCAAGTCTAGTGGTTTGACCTGTGATGTCATAAATAAAATAAAAACATAAAATATTTATAAATTCTAAAAAATACCATAAAATATTTATAAATAAAGAATGAGGCATGTCAAGTTTGATCTGGGTTTTGAAACCTATTTCATTCCCCATATATTATAAAATTTAACCCACAAACCACTGCCCACGTTGAATGATTTAGTGGTTCAATTGCCTGAGTTAGTAGTTCTTTAACCAATTCAACATTTATTTTTCAAAAAAATATGGTCTAGTCCAAAACCATATCCAGAGCCATGATGGTTCCAAAGGTGAATTGTCTAATTGTCTAGTCTAGTCTGATTTTTCAAAATAGTGGTATAAACAATAAACAAGCAAAATAACATGAACAAACATCAAAATCCCAATTATTTGATTGAAACATTTAAGATTCAAAGTATTATTAAATTAAACACATAATACATAATTACATGCCTTACAACAGTAATTTAATTATAAGCACTTGGTGTGTTTTAATAAATTCAATGTGTGATCAGGGAAGGTTGGGTTTAACCTAATACCATGCCCACCCATATGAGTTGTAAAACCCCAAAACCCATCCTTGCCCCAAAATTCATTCTTTAAACAAAAAAAAAAATGTTGGATGATGTATACCCTCAACTCTAATAATTTTATGCACAGTGACATTTATTAATGAATAAATTCAATTCATTTATTGCTTCATGTGTATTTTGGTACCTTTTTTGTGAATACCCTTAAATTGTATATTTATGAAACTTTTGTAAGTTTGTATGTTCTTAACTAATTGATAAACTTAGGGAATTTATTATATTAAGATTGACATTTTTGTACTATTAAACTTGTGAAATAGTTAGTTTCAATTGTTTAGGTTGAACCTAAGGTACAAGGAGTGGATGTTTAAGAAACTCTAAGGTCCCATTTGTTTACCGATAAATGGGGGTGGGGAAAATTGGTCAATGAGTATCTCTTTCCCATTGACCAACTCTATAGTATTTTTTTTGCATTAAGTATTGGGCCCCACGGTAAAGAGAGCTTCACTTACTTAAGTAAAACTTACCCATCTCCTAGGTGGGTAAGTAGCATTCCCACATGGGGGAAAAGTTTATAAAACATGATGGGATATGTTTGTCCTTTTTAACATTAGCTTTTTAAGGGTAAAAAGGTCATTATATTACTTACTTGGGAATCAAAAGAACATGGGTAACCGAACTTACCCGAGTAAGTAAGAAATTTT